CCTAATTGGATCTATTGTATCCTCAAGCCGGCAAACGTTTATCCCTTAGAGATTTGGTTGGTTGGTTTAAATGCCACATTGAGAGAATCCTGAGTAAGGCCTCTGAGGTTCTTCCTTTATATAACGACAGTACTACTACAGGAGCATTGAATTCCATATTATTTACGTTGTTTTTATTATTTTCCCTATTATAATCTTATGTACTCTATAGATTTTCATACATTTCTGAATAAATTCTTGCGGCAGGGAGGCGGGTAGTTACTAACTAGTGATGTTTTCTTTATTTGCTTGATTTGATTATTTCAAATCTTCTGGCTTATAGGTTTCTTTGCGTTTCTTTTACTTCTTCACATTTATGTGATTTGATAAATTGTGGAAGCTTGAAGTACTGTACATTAGAAATTCAGTTCAGTTCAGACATGTGGTTAGAACTTGCAAATATGATGGAGAAGATTTGTAGCTCAGGTGGATGATTTTGATGTGGTTGTGTTCTCTGAGCTGGATAGTCATTTTGCGAGACTTTCATCACCCTACTAGGTGACATCTTCAGCGCATACTTCAATTTGAAGTGAGCTTTTAGATTTCTCCACGAGTTTATTAATCATCTCTCCTGGCGGGTGACCTTGGACGTGATTGGTTGTTTTTGTGTGTTTTCACACCCTCTGGGCGACTTGTATTGGAACTGATTATTTCTTTGACCTGAACTTTGACCCTTTGTGTGTGAGGTTTGACCTTGGCGGCCTGTTTGAACATTTTGGACTACCATATTCCATGTAAATTTTGCATCTATTTACTCATATTTTGTTGGTGTTTGCATTCAAAATTATGCATTCTAATCGTATCATTCACTCTCGGGATTATATAAAATGCTTAAAACCTAAAAACTTTCATATTTGCAATAAACTCAAGAAAAAGCACCATGGTGGTTGGCAACGTGCTTTAAAATCTACACCCATACATCAAACTACTGTTCCGGTTATCGTTAGTACGAACTGTCGGTCACTGCCTAACAAAATTCTGGATTTTCAGTCCCTGTTGTTGTCCGAAACTTATCATAATACTGGTATTGTAACTCTACAAGAAACCTGGCTTCATGACTCATATGATGACAATATAGTATCTTTAAATGATTTTAATGTATTCCGACAAGACCGTGTTTGTTCCAAGAAAAAATTCGGCGGTGGAGTAGCTACATTTATTCACTCAAAATGGTCTATTTCTAACAATGTTTGTTTCAAATTCTCGAGTGACTACATTGATTGCATCACTGTCAGATGTCGCCCGAGACACTTGTCAAAATACAAATTCATTTATATTTCTAATGTTTATGTCTCTCCTGGCTGTACCATATCGGATTTATCTATGTTCGCAGATGAATTCACCGCTTTTGCTGCAGCTTGTTTCGAGAACTCTTTATCAATAGTGACTGGCGATTTTAACTCTTGTGATCACTCCTTCCTTATATCACTTGGCCATGACAATATTGTTAACTTTGCTACCCGTCTCGAAAAAACACTAGATCTAGTATTCATCAATGATGTTGGTATATATGAAGCTCGCAAACGTGCTCCTGTATTGAACTCTGACCACTGCATCATACGTGTACTGCCTAAAATATATTCCAAATCACACAAACGTGTCTTCTCTCACCTCTACAGTAAATTTCAACGGAGATGCTACTCACAAGATAATCTAAGCAAACTCAGATGCATGTTGATAGATACTAACTGGGACCTATTTACAGAACAAACATTAAATGACACAATCACAAACACCACAGATTATCTTAAATTCTGTTTGGAAATATGTTGTCCTAAAGAAACATTATTCACTCGTTTTGACCGTTTCTCTTCTCCATATCTCAAAAAGCTCCGTAGAGATAAAGAACTGTTGTTCAAAACAAATGATAAGTCAGGTGTAAAAAAGCTAAATCCTCTGATAAAACTCGAAATGCACAGACTAAATGTTTTATACAACCAAAGATTTTTGTCATGTAAAACCCCTTCTAGTTTATGGAAACTTTTTAAAGAAATAACTAGCGGTAAGCGGTGTAATTCTGTACAATCTCTTAATGTTAATAATCTTAATAAGTCTTTCATACGCTCCTCTGACGATATCCTTCCTAATGATACAAATCACATAGACAATAATTTTAATGGTTTTAATACCCTTGATGTGCTTAAATGTCTCCGTTCTCTTAAGCCTTCCCAAAGCCTTGGTCCTGATGGCGTACCTGCCATTGTCCTCAGGAACTGTGCTGATATTTTGTGTTACCCTCTTACTAATATTTTTAATGCTTCCTTTTCCAGTAATGTTCTACCTTCTGCATGGAAAAACATTAAAATTGTCCCTATACCAAAACAATCTTCTGGTACCGATAGTAAATTTAGGCCTATTGCAATTACTTCTCCTTTTTTAAAATTGATGGAAAAACTACTTTTACTTCGTCTTGAACCTTCATTGAAAGCTTTTAATGACCCTAAGCAATTTGCATATAAACATGGTAGAAGTACCTTGGATGCTGCGGTTGTCTTATATCATAATGTTGTTTCTTGTTTAGACAAAGGTGCCAAATATGTCCGTGGTGCTTTCCTAGACTACACATCTGCGTTTGACTCTGTACCTAGGGGCCTTTTATTAAATAAGCTCTCCTTGACGCACACAGCATCCTGGGCTAAGAGTTGGTTGCATTCTTATTTTTCTGATAGAATGCAGTATACTGCATATAATGGCAAATCTTCTTCTGCTTTGCTTACAAAAGCCGGTGTTCCTCAAGGTGCCGTCCTCTCTCCCTTTCTTTTTTCTTTCTTCTTACATGACCTGCCACATTTAAACGAAACCAATTTTGTCAAATATGCTGATGATCTGACTGTATCACTGCCTATCACTTCTGAGTCTGACTGCTCCAAACTTAATAGCTTTTTGTTGGACATCAGCATGTGGTCTAAGTCAAATGGTCTTATGTTAAATCCTTCCAAATGTCAGGCAGTTAACTTTACCTTCAACCATCGACGTGACATACATGAACTAGTTAGTTCCCATGATGCCTGTAGCATAGATGGTACAGAAATTGAAACCAAATCAAGCATTAAATACCTTGGATTAGTTCTTTCCTCGGACCTTTCATGGTCATCTCACATTTTATTGGTCTCTAAGAAAATGTTTCGTCTTACCTTCTACATTAAAATGTTAAGACAACAAGGTATCAGCCAACCTTTAGTTCTGCGATTTTTAAACTCCTGTATTTTACCCATTTTACTTTATTGTTCTCCATTAATCTTTCCTGGGCTTCTTAAAAAAGACTATGCCGTATTACGAAGGGTATTAAATGCTGTGAGTAGGGCTTGTGGTTTGCCACTGCGTGATCTCGCCAATACCATAGTCGAGAGACACGTAAATTCCTGTAAAAATTGGGCAAAGACCGTACTGTCAGACCCTCTGCACCCTCTTTATTCACAATTATCCCCTTGTATCTCATCAGGTAGAACGAGAAGTCAATATAAGAAATTATATGCTCGTACCACTAAGTACAAAAATTCTACAATACCGTACTTAGCCCGTATTTTATGTGATGAAGACACTGTTAGACGTGAAACATATAAGTTACTATGTAATTAGCATAGTGAATCGACCCTTTCATTGTTCATCTTTCTGTAATTCTATGGTGTCACCCTTTCTATCGTTTAATTATAACTTTGCTATTTTTATTTTAGTTGTTATTACTATTATTACTATAATTTTATATTTTTCTCCTTATCCTCTACTGTAATTGCTACATAGCTCCTATAAAAACGTTTTGTTATCATTATTATGTATTAATTATTCCGTTTATCTACTTTTTTTGTTTGTTGTTGTCGTTTTTGAGTAAATTAGATGCAATACTGTACTGAATGCTGAAAATTCCTTGCTGTATCATCAATACTGTTTTTGGAATAAAGCAAAAATTATTATTATTATTATTATTCTTTCTTATCGATTGGTAAATTTTGTCAATCTCGATGTGTCTATTGATTGATGATTCACTGGAATGCCAAGCTTCTAAAAATTCACTAGCATTTTTGTTGTTTCCTCTGTCTAATATTTGAACATTGTCCCAATCGAATTGATGCCTGTGGTTGTCTGTATGTAGTGATATGAGGAAGTGGATGTCATGTCTTTTGACGGCTAGCTTATGATCGTGGATACGAAGACGAAGAGGACGTCCACTTTGGCCAATGTAGTGTTTTTCGCAGTTGTTACAATTTATTTTGTAGATGATGTTGTGAAAACACACAAAAACAACCAATCACGTCCAAGGTCACCCGCCAGGAGAGATGATTAATAAACTCGTGGAGAAATCTAAAAGCTCACTTCAAATTGAAGTATGCGCTGAAGATGTCACCTAGTAGGGTGATGAAAGTCTCGCAAAATGACTATCCAGCTCAGAGAACACAACCACATCGAAAAGAACTTGTAAATAATACACAATATAATGAATGCATATTCATCATCACAAGAGTCGTTAACGCAGACGAAGGATTGATGAAATCCCACATAAGAGGGGACGGGGAGATAATGCAGAAAAAAAAGGAAGGAACAGCGAGTACTTTCTACAATTAAATTTTTCCTGTGAAATTATTGGGCACCGGTGGCACAGCAGCAGAATGCTCGACAACTGCACGGCCTCATTTGGTCCGGGGTTCAATCCCCGGCCAAATCAGTAATAAGACTGGTAAATAGAGAAGATTGGGCAGGAAGCTGGCTAGTAACCCCATCTCATAAAAATAGATACCACTGCTACTGAAACTTCAAGGTGCCCTATATGTTCCACTGGGAACGTAAATGATGATATCTATCTTTGAGACACCTGACGATGACGTTTACACACACACACACACACACAGCTGAAACAAAACAATTACGCATCACTGCGTCATCCAGATGATGAGAATATATGAGAATATAAAAGTATAATAACACAAGAAGCATAACAAGATAAAAGTAAGTATGTACAGACATACCTTCCTGGATATTATTAATAGCTGAGATAGCAGCCTGTACTGCACTGATACTACAACTACTAGCACCTTTAAAAGTATTCTCATTGGTAGTAGTGGTGGTAGAAGTTGGTCTTGATAATGAATTAGAATTGTACGCATCTCCGACTAAATCATTATTAGTAAGCATATCGGGCGGAGAAAGTGATGAAGTCCTTTGTAGACTCCAACTACACTTGGATGAAGAATGCATAACAGGCACAGACGATTGACTATTCAATTGTGGTGCTATAACTTGTTTATTTGGTGGAATTCGATCAATAGTTGATGCTTGATAATCGCTTGTTTTATTGAAAAGATTGAAATTATGATGACCAGAGGAGATTTTTCTCAATGGATTAAATATACTATCACGACTACGCCGTTTCCGTAACTGTTGTTGTTGTTGTTGCTGCTGCTGTTGATTTCGGTGTTGCTGCTGCTGGTGATGATGATGATGAGTCGGAGATATCGATCGTGGATTACTACTTGTATCTGAGGAGAATGAAGAGGCAATATTATTATTATTATTAGCAGCATCATCATGGACAATACAACCGTTGGGTTGTAGTGCACATACTGGATTACTACGAAAAATGTTATTACAGCAATCCACTGCATTGAAACTACTTGTACCTAAAGCGGATTGTGCTGCAACGGTCAGTTGGGCAGCTTCTGCGGATGTTGCTGGTTTTAGATTAGAATTATAGCGTAGAGCGGTGAATTGCTCAATTGCTATAGTCAGCTCAACTAATCTGCTACCGTCGATTTCGAAAACATATGAGCCTCGACCTAGAATGAATAAAATAACGGAAAACGTCAATGTACAAATGACAAAAGATGAAAAAAAGTATAACGACCCCACCTAGGTAGAACGCACCTGCCAACATCCATGTACAATCATTTAGTTCATAATATTAAGACAGGGGAAATCAATAGACGAGGCTGTGAAGTTACATCGATTGAGATGGTTAGGACATATGTTACGCATGCATGTTTAGCGATCGACCACTTCCCTCAACAATGGGAAATGTTAGCTGACTGACATAGGATGGATCAGGCTGGAAAAGATCTAGCTAGTGGGGGTCAAACCAAAACATGCAATCAATGAAATCCCCAACAGTTAGTTTAAGCCATGAAGGAAGGTGTAGACTTCCTGGTTGGGGTCCTCAAGACAATTGATGATATGGCTCAAAAGTGTTCTTAAGTGGAGTGCGGCGACTCGAACTGCTGCACATCGGTGCAAAGTTTCATGTTGAAACCAGTCAGTCAGTCACTAATGAATACGAAGAGCATAAAAAATAAATGCATCCGTGTTGTCAAAGTCCACTTTACAAAACAACTCTCTTATAGTTTTCCACTGAAACTTTAACCAGGTGGTTTAAACTTAAAAATAATCATTGACAAATTACCGATCACCTTGGACATGAATCACAGTATGTAAGGTTGAACAACTTGTGTGTGTAACTAGTTATTCAATAATGTCAGTCGCATTTTTTTTAAATCTACCGACTTCTAGTGGCAGCTCCTCGAATCTTCTTACCCTACTTGACCAATGTGTTTTAGACAACGTTTTAAGCTTCGGGTATAAACTGGTGTGTTTTCCCAATGTTCTATGATTGATCCAAATGACAAAAACACATAAAGATATTTATAAAAATATGATTTGAATGGCAAAAATGCTGATCAGACCTAAGCTAAACTGCGGCTTTCATTTACTAACCTTTACCAATGCACCACTCACTATAAAACGAAGTTATGTATGATACTGACCACGGATTGATATCAGAGAACCATTGAAAACCAAGGATAGCTGTTTTGTCCTAGTTTTTTTTTTGAGGCTCATTGGCAGTACGCACCCACGACCAGGGTTTCGAACCCATGACCTTCCAGTTACAAGGTAAGTTCGTGGACCATTCAGCCACTGGGATCCGACTCAATGGCTAGCCCATGAATTCTAACTTCTATCAATTCATGTACCACCCGATGGGAGCGTACTGCCAATGAATCCTAAATACCAAAGACTAAACACAGCTGTCCAGTACTCCCCCATTAGGTTTTCAATGGTTGTTTCTCTAACTGATGTCAATCCGTAATCAAATCCCTACAAGCAAACTCTTGAAAATGGTATATATATATTTCCTGAAATGCGAACTTCTTAGACACTGTGTAATCAGAGTGATACAACACGTTGTTTCCGGTACTTTCACAATTAGATCACTGAAGAAGTACTTGATGTAGTTCTTGGGTTTTAAATGCTGATTGAATCAGAAACACCAATCTTTAAACACTGTTTCGAAATACACCACACATCTAGTTTCGCAAGCATATTTGTTAAGATCACGCAACATTCGTTACACTTTATGTTACTTCCATAAATGGAAGAATAGAGATTGCAGCAAGTTCGCTATTGATCGCGATTCGTGACCATATCTTATAATGTTCTGAGCTACCGAGTCACACTATCTTTTGAACCCTAACCAAGGAGTCGTAATGCACTAATTGATGTTAAACGAACACAAGTATCCTTCAATCCCATAGCGCCACATCGTAGACTGACCACCTCTCCGCTTCTTCTATCCAGTCCTAGAGCTAGCAAACAATGACCGATACGGAAGCCTATGGGAATGACATATATAGTACATGTTCAAGCCGCTGAAGCTTGTGTTTCCAGATGACGACACTCTCAATAAATGGTGATCTCCATCCACTGTGTTCAAACGAATGCTGCCAGACCTCAGAATCCCTTATACGATGATGCGATCGGACGCAAGCAATTTTATGCAGACAATGATCACTGAATATGCAGAGTCATCGTACATCGTCAGCTCGGAGAGACCAGATTTTACAGGCGCACAGCAAGACCGCACCTGCTAAAACATTGTTAACCCAATCGATGATGGTCAAGCTGACATCACGACAGCGGCTCCAGAGGTGGAACAAATTGGTGTGTGCCACCCTAGGTTTCACTATACGGCTAGAGATGTCGTTTGTTACACCACTACCAAGACTCACACAACTACCTAGATATACGAACTTTAAGCGATTGAGAGCAAATACAGACTCCTCCTGCCAATCTTGCAACAGTACTTGCACTTAGACAGCGCAAACCACATATACCATACTTACAGACAATGATGAAGAAAAGAAGAAGTGTTACAATTACTTGCATTTCCATGTAGCCAAAGGAAGAGTTGGATTCGAACTTGTAGTCAACGATGAAATTTCACCTAGACCAGTGAACCCCACAGGTTAAACAGCCATCAGATACACGCCCCCCCCCCATAGACTTCGAACAAAATTCTTAACTCACTGAGATGAGGGAGCTTTTTTATTGATTGCTTTCCGAAAGTAACACAGAGCCACAAAATTTCAAGTTTTAGTAGCGTTGGTCTTGGTTTTACAGAGCAGAGTTGGGGGGGGGGGTTCGATAGCACCACACCCTAACTTTTCTCTTTTCTGAACTTACTACTGATTAGTACAGTAGGCAAAGTTTACATATGCATAGATTAAGGATGGAATCAGAGCCTCTTGTGTGGCTGGCTGGCTGGCTGGGTGAGTATTTCACCAGTAAGTAGGCTACCAAATCAACTACAACGGATCAAACATAACAAAACAAAAAGGCAGAAACGGTATACAGGTTAAGTTCACTTTAAGTGAAGGGAGTGGGGGGGGGAGTGGAAGGCAGTGTAAGACTCTGAAAAATGAGATCACTTACCCTTTCCTGAGGCTGGACTGCATTCCATAAAAAATAAATACTTGTTAGTATTGTTAGGCGTTGAATTTGAATTTGTTGCTGGTGACACATTTGTTGGATTACGTGATGCAGAACCAAAGGAACCAGAAGTTCGATGATGATGAATATCCAATGCTTGTGAATGACTATGATTAGATGACGAAGACGACGATATAGTAACTGATGAACTCATTGATATAGAATTATTCATACCAATTGTAGTATTGTTTGTAGTAGTATAGTTACTACTACTGCTAATACCACTAGTACTACTACTACTATTATTATTACTAATACTACTACTACTACTATTGCTAGTAGTATTATTAGGTGTGAAAAATTGATTAGCATTCTGTGCAGGCATAGTCATAGTATAAGCTTTCTCGACATGATCTAATCGCCAATTACAAATAAATTTACATCCACTTGATGGTTCACCAATTAAACATAATCTCCAGTGTTGTACGTGTAAACTGCCTTGAAGACCTTGAAAAAGTTTACTACCATCACCAGTATGACGTAATGTGACACGAAATCGATTGTCTTTTAATTACAAAAAAAAAGAAAACAACAAAGAAAACAACTTAGAAAGACGAAAAAAGGTTAAAGTAATTGATTTCCTGTCATATCTATAAATATAGTACATAGATAGGCTGCCTACTATATATCCAATGATTTTCCTGATTGCGGTAGACTGGATAATGCGACAGACGCACAGTGGGCAACGAGGAAACAGGCATAGAATGGACGCACACAAAAAACTTGGAGGATCTGGACTTCGCCAATGTGATATATGTCTGACTTCCCACAAACTCGAAGATATTCAAGTGAAAAGCAACAAGTTGGCGATAGAAGAAGCATCAAAGATAGGACTTCAGTGAACATAGAGAAGACGAAGTTAATGAAGATTCCTGGCCAACAGCAGCAGCAGCAACAACAACAGACAACAATCAGTATACATGGGAGAAATCTGAATGAAGCAACCTCCACTTAGCTACCTACCTCTACTTGGGAAGCATCGTTTCAACAACAGGCGGACGGAACTGATGGGGAAAGCGGGATTGGGAAAGCAAGGCAAGCTTTCATTACTCCCAAGTCTGTATGGAGGAGATCAACAGCACTACTCAGCATGAAAAATAAGATCCGGATTTTCAACTCCAAAGTCATGTCAGTGCTACTTACTATACGGATCAGAGACTTGGCGCCGCGCTGCGTCACGAAGGGCACTTCGAACAAACTACAGACCTTCATCAACAGCTGTCTTTGCTCAAGATCAGATGGCCGGCCAGAAGAAACCAGCAACAGGGATCTCTGGGAACGAACCAACCAACCAACCAACTAGTAACCAATTGTGCCACAAATATGAAGTAAGAAATGGAGATGGATTGGATTGGCCATGCTCTGAGAAAACAAACTATCATCAAGTGACATCCATCACACGCCAGGGTACCGCTCGAGTGAAACCTGAATGGGAAGCAACGAGTTAGTTGGTCGTCAGTGCGAGGGTGACATGGAGGAGGTGGTGCGAAAAGGAGATGAAAGCATGTGGGCAAACGTGAAGCCAGGTGATGAAAGCGCTGGTAGAGGACGGAACGCAATGGAGACGTGCGGCTGAAGCCCTATGTTCCTCTAGGAATTAAAGGAAACAATAATAATAATAATAACAAAAATAATAGTATATAGATTGTCAAAGTGGACTACACTTTCTT